GGGGGGGACACTGGCACAGGGGGACAGCTGCCAGCAGATTACCCCTCCCCCTATAAACATCAGCAGAGACTGCTTATCAATGCCAATTGGGGGGACCAACAGCATATCTCTAGGGGGCGGGCGCCAAGCTTGCCCAGGACGGTACATGAGGCCCATGGGGATTGAACCGAACACCTCCTGAATGCCACTTGCGTGCCTTACCAACTGAGCTACAGTCTTCCCCTGAACAAAATGCATGTATGTACCATTCAACTTTCCCTGAAAAGCCGATTTCTCAAAGTCGCCCCTGAAATCCAAATAGTACGCACATATGTTCTATTCAAATATTACGCACGTATTCGAACAAACGGGTCTTCTATTCAAATAGAACACATGCTTGCCTGCCTGAAGTGTCACACTCGTTTCCAGGTGCGCGCCCTGCAGTATTCCGCTCTCTCTCTCTCTCTCTCTCTCTCTCTCTCTCTCTCTCTCTCTCTCTCTCTCTCTCTCTCTGTGTGTGTGTGTGTGTGTGTGTGTGTGTCTTACCTGAGGGTCCTGTTTGTGGGAAGACTGGAGATACCTGTACGAGGCACATACTTTGTTTCTTTTTTTTGGGGGGGCGGAGGGCATATTCGGAAGTTGATACCCTATGTTCATAGCATAACGCACGAATACAACGCATGTGGAAATGTCATTGAGCTTGGTAACCTATGGTGGAAATCAAAGAATCTGAGAAAGATGGACCTGTCCCCAGGTACTGCACTCTGGGAACTTGCTGAAGGAGGAAAAGGTTTGGAATATGCCCTTGTGGAAATGTGAAATAATTTCAAATAAACATTACTGCTCCTGCTGAGATGGACCTGGATGTGCAGAGCGTCAGAATGCAGATATGCACCTGACTGCCTGCGCAATGCAGGTACATCAGTTTGGCAGATAAGAGCCACTGATGGTCTTCCCCTGAGCAAAGATGAAAGGAGGCAGTTTATCACAACAAAGCCTCACCCGGCCCATAGGGTGCTACCTGGGCCCTTGAGTTGCCCCGGGGACCCTTCCCTACCCGCATGTTTTTTACACAACTACCGGGCTACGGGTCTGGCCGCTCTGCTGTATTTGTCTTCCTTATAACCAACTTGTATTGTAAGGGACGCTGGATCCGTTTTCCAGCAGGTGCTGCTCCCCACCAATAGACTGGAGCCACCCGGGGGCGGTATAACAGGGGGTTGTTGCTCGTACCAACCCCTGTGGCACCGGACCTGGCTGTTTGTAAAAAAAAAGAAAAAGAAACTCTGGCCAAAAATGGAATAGTCAGGTGATGCCTGCATACTCTGCATGACATGACTAGTGTCAGTATGTATCGGACTGCAGCAGGATTTGAGCCTGTGATCTGCTCCTCGTCAGCGTGCAGGCATGGATAAATAATTTTGATTGAAAGACAGGTAAAGGGGCTCGTTAGACACTCCTCAGGTGCGTAAATCCCCCGAGGAAAATTTTGTTCCACCTATCCTCAAGGATGAAAACAAAAAAAAATGTGAAAACATTTCCTTGGGGAATCCTCGGGGCTTCCTCGGGCTACAGCCATGTGGTGGCATTCCTCAAGGGACCTCCCGAGGTCCCTTGGAGGTCAAGGATCCGCGATAATCGGAGCACCGAGGGCATCCGTCGTCGGCAAGAAATTTCATCGCCTGGTCCATTGGAGTTCCTACCGGGAATCGCACGGACATCTTGGGTCTTCAACGTTCGGCTTCCAGGAACCTTACGCCAACGGTAACCATTGGTGGTCGGCCGGCCCCCGCGGACGTCGTCGACCAGTGTTCTCCCTCGTAGTGCGTGCCGCCAAACGTAACAGGGTTGAACGGTCGGCAAATTTGAATACTTCAGCCGACCCCCCTTGCTCCGTTTGCCCACTGTATTCCGCGACGAAAAACGTTACAAGATGTTTGTCCCATGCTGTGGTCTGCCGTTTGCAGCCCTCTTCGTCGCCGTTTGCTGGAGGTGTACTGTCGTCGTCTAGCTACTGCCCTTCCCCACTTGCCTTTCATGGCCGACGTCTTTCGAAGGCTGTCGCTGCTGCTCCTGGTCATCCTTTTGCTTGTCCTTGCCGTCTTCTTCCACGTCTGCATCCTCGGCAGGGTGCCTGGACGTACACATAAGAGGCGGCCTGCGAAGAAGGACGTCGGCATGGATGGGCGGCAGGCGAAGAACAGGTGTTCAGTGGACCACTCCAAAAGCCACCGCGCAGGCCACGGCCTGGCTCGCAGTGCAAGGGTGTACGACTCGTTAGAGTGCGTGTGTCGTATGGTGTCCTATAAAGTCTGCTCCCTTCATCGTTGCTGTTCAGTGGACCTTCACCGTCGTCATAGAGTTATGGCCCTGTCGTACGTGTTGTTGATGGCTGACCTCTATTGAAGGTTGCCACTGCTGCTCCTAGTCACAATTTTGCTTGTCGTGGTCCTCCTGTTCCTCGTGTGCTTCCTCTATCGTTGATGGCTGACCTCTATCGAAGGCCTCCAACAGAGAAGACGAGGGATCGACACCGACTGCAGTCGACATCGACATCGGCAGCGTATCCCGCGGGCATTCGTTCACACTGGATGCGATCGCCATCGCCCGAAAGACACGTGGCGACATACGGAGCTTCTCCCATAAGTACTCCTCCGCTGCATTGTCGCATTGACTGAGATCCTCCCATGCCCTCCCCGTCCTCCATTTCATCCACCACCTCAGCGTTGCTTGTGGGAGAACACTGCAACCCATGGCACAACAAACCTGAACTGCAGCCTCGATGATGGCCACGGTATCCAGCCCTCCGACCGGGACTTGATGAAGCGTCTTCCTCCTCCGTGCGCGGATCTGCGCTCTCATTCTGCCCAATGCCCACTCTTGCTGACAATGAAAGAGCACGGCTGTCACAGCCGCCACCACAACCGTCTTGTCGATCGTCGTCAACTTCGCACGTCCATCGTCGCTTCCGCACTCCATCGGCACGTGTGTTGCAATGCTCATGAACCAGGGAAATACAACAGCCTACCAAATTCACGACCACGGTAACCTCAACGCCAAGTCCCCGATGACGTTCCCCACGTGTGCTCGACTCAACACATAGGAGCGGCGGCATGCAGAGGCGATGGCGATGGACCTTCTCGGGGCGCTCACAAATTCGTGACGTCGTACGAGGACTCCATTGCGCAGCTGCAAATGCCCGTTTCCACCGTCGCAGATATGGACGTCACCTGCCCCACGTCACCGTCGTGACGTCCAGCACCCAATTTGAAATTTGATTTTCGAACGGGGAGGTCCATTGCTTTTTAAGGGTTTTTTTTTTCCCGGTCGCCAGCGCCTTTTAAAATTTCCCGCCTTCGGCAGCTGGACCACACCGTAGCAAGACGGACATCACCCAATAGACCAAGGCATGGCCCCTCCCGCAGCTGACTATAATATTATGAAAATGGCCGCCGGCGGCCGAAAGGAATCATCCTTGGGAGACCACCCCAACGATAGGTGGAATGGCGGCGGGAATTTCCTTCAATCCCCCCAAGGAAACTTCCTTCGGCCTCGAGGACGCCTCAAGGAGTGTCTAACGAGCCCCAAAGTCCTCAGCCACACGAGTTGGGTTGTTGTTCACGTTACAAAAAAAAAAAGGGAAAAAGAAAAGGGTTGTTGTTCACCTTTTTCTCCCCTGACGGTAGTTTGACCCCATCCCCTGACATTGATTGAGGAGAGCTATTAATAGTAACACGAGAATCACTGCAAATTCGAACCTTGAAAACTGATTTTTTTCTTTTCTTTTTTTTTTTGGGTAAAACCTCTTGTTGTGGGGATTACCACTTGAGTAGGTGATAAGAGCATCCTCCTCAAGTGTCTCCCCTACTGGAGGGCTCCATCTATTAGTGGGGAGAAGCACTTGCTGGAAATGGGGTCCAGCGTCCCAGTAGTAAACAATGTTCAATGTAGAGAATGAAGTTGAAAATGAGGTTGCTGCCAGAGCATTTGTCACCACGATGTCTGCGAGGATGAAGGTCCTGCCTTTGGGAATTTGTACTCTGACTGTGCCTGTTTCCCCGTCCGCCCTGCATTAACAGGCCTATTTTCGGACATCCCTGGCCGGCAATCGAGATGGAAGGTCAACAAAGTCGAGGCAGAGGGGGCGGTGCCATGGCGGAGC